TTTGTAGGACAGACTACTGATGGGGTTAAACAGTAGGATTTTTTACGAAAATTTCTTCAGAATTATATAGAATTACGGACTGACGCTTTACAGTCGTATAATCATCTTCTTATTGAGTAAAAAGTTTATGTCTAACTTTCGGCTGCGTTCCAACTGACTTTGAAAAAACAGTTGATATTAGTGCTATTTGGTTATGATCATATGTGACATATTTAGACTCAAAATCTTTGAAATATTGGTCTTTCCGGGTTTCGGTGTCTCAAGGTGGTTCTGAGATCTTTGCGTTTACCTAATTACATGTGGCATTACCAAAGACTTGCCTTGTACCATTTCTTTAGCATTTTTGACCAAAGCAAATTTTTTATTTCTCTTTACCTTTTGTAAATTTCAAGACTACAAGTGTTCACTAAATAAAGAGTGAGGCTTAACAACATTTATATCATTTTAAAAAACTAATAATTTACTGAGTAAAAAAGAGGGTTATGTTTCTGTTCAGCGAGTTTTCATTTTATAACAGTGCGGCATAACTTACTCAGACATGCACGTACCAAACAAATTAAAGTGAAACATTAAAGAGTGCTTTAATAAGATTTGCAAATTCTGTTGAGTTTAAAAAGTATTCAAACGACCAGATTGTCTCAATAGTCACTTTGAATTCGGACAACGTGTATTTTACCTTTGCACCATTTTATCACTAAGCTACCAAAAACCTCTATTTATAACTATTTGGGTTTCATCTGGCTAAATTTGCCTGCTTTCTCGCATCGTCTACCACACTCATTGCGTAAGAAGACTGGGGAAAAAAAGGTTGGCTCAATGTCGCAGTCTGGTTATGTAAGTGCGAAACGGTTGATGGCAAAAAAAAAGTTTCGGTGAAAGCAAACTAGAAGAAGCGAATTAAGAATGGATTTGGTAGCACAGCGAGTAATATCAGAAAAACAAATTCACAGGTCTCTTCAGCGAAAACTTGCTAGAGGTGCATAGTTCTTTAAAAAGTGCTGTAAATTTTTAATATTTTGCAAAACTTTATAAAAAAAATTACACGAAAAAGAGTGATAAGTTGTAAGTTTTGCCCTCACTGAATGCCTACATCAGATTAACTTCAAGTAGTAAAGTAATTAATTTTAAGGCTGTTGCAATATATTCGTTTCGAACAGCATCTGAATCACAGACAGTTTTTCCCACAAGGTTTTGTTCAGCGACTGAGACTATTGGAAAAATACTTGGTTTTCTTCACACTGCCTTTATTATTCTGTGTTACACAATTAGTTTTATTATTTCTGTTCACGTTATTAAGCGTATGAGACGTGCAAAGGTTTTGTTTTCAATATTCTGTAATACTCAGTGAAAACTAACATTTTACAGAAAATAATGAGCATTATAAAAACAAGAAATTTTTTCATGGGTTTCTAAGTACACTTTTTGCAAAATCGTGTTTACCAACATACCTCGTTCAGATGGCAGCAATAGACGTACAGCGGCAGAAAGTGACATGTATCGTCATGGGATCTTCACTAATCTGCATTCTTCTGCCACTGCTGATTTTGATTACGAGGATTGGGAAAGCGATCCCGCACAACGCTTTACTAATTGGCAAGTTTGTTGCTCTCATTCATTTGATAGCACCTTACAGTGATAAAAAACGGTTAGCACAGTAAACTTTTATACGATATACAGTTTTGCTAAATATAGGGTAACCAATATTTAGTTGATAGCAAAAATGATAAACAGTCAAAAAGTGAAAAAAAAGTAATCTCATCGCTGATCTGCAGGAATCTTATACACAATGTATCCATTAAATTCGATTATTAATTTTCCGCTCTTTGTGATCTTCCGAAGAGATTTTCGACTTCAGTTGTTGTGGTTATTATTCAAAGCAGACGTTTAGACGTAGAGCAGAGAATACAATATTCGTCGTGAAAAGCAGCAAAGTCTGACCAAAAATGCATGTCAAGTATTGTTTGCAAGCAGATTTTTTTTTCCTATTTTAAAGGTTGATTTATTGTTTAACCACAAGAAATTTCAATGAATAATTCGTTTGCTAAAAAAATTGAATTCGTTTGCTAATTTGAATGTGTTGGAAAAGATACAGATTTTTTTTATTAGAGACTTTAAAGGTACTTGTGGTACAAAGTCGAAATGAAGGCAAAACATTTAGTTTTATAATTATTTTTGCTTTTCGTACTGTCATGCTCGTTTGACTGAGATTTTGTTGAGGTTATTTTCTATCTTCTTATGGTTTCCAACAACTAATTGTGAAAACGCAAAAAATATAATGATAGGGGAAGTTGTAGATGCGGATTTGTATTAAAAAAGTGTTTATTCGTGCAAAATACCATGATAGAGTTTTTAAAATTATTGTTATAACAAAGAAGAGCTAAATTTGTTGTTTTCAGTGGAAACAATTTCAGGCATGTTGTAGATGAACAATAACCAGACATTGGGCTGCATTTTGAACATTGCAAATCAATGGTTAGAGGTCTGTCAGTAACAGATCTGTTCAGTCGTTCGTCAGGTCGTGAAAACGCCTAAAATTGTTATGCATTTATCGCCAATCACTTTTGCTACATCTGATTTATACAGCTCAATTTCAACTAATTAAGGTGACTGCGAAATACGAATAAATCTTTATTGGCATGTTGATAAGCTTTCTGCTAATTCTTTTTATAGTTGTACTTTTACATTTTTCATATTTGCTTTATTTTTGTGCCTAATTTTGCAACATCAGTAACAGAAAAGCCTGCTTCTTATGTTCAAAGAAAACTAGAAAGTAATTTAACAATTAAGTATATTATTGACAAATCAGTGCAGATGTCGATACGGAATTTACATTGAACGCGTATATGTACGTATTTTTTCTAAACGCTATATCGCTAAATAATTGAGGAAAAGTGTAATGAACAATAACAGAACTTTTTAAAAAACTATAAAGATTTAAACACTTTATCTTCTTTGCAGGTTTTTTAAAAATGTTTAAAAGAGCATTTAATAATTGCTAAAAGCTTTCACCTTTTGTTCGTCAAAGTTTATAAGATAAAAAGTTGCCAGATTATTGTAACTATACACAGTCTTAACAGTTAAAACTGGTTTTCACGGTAATTTAAAAAAACCATTTCAGTTTAAAATACTATAAGTAAACTAACTAAATCAAAAAAAAAGATTTAAAAAATATCTAAAGTTTACATGATTCTACTTATAAAGCAAATTTCGTTGCTGCATATTAAATAGTTGTCATCTAGAACAGTCTACTGACCGACAAACACATGACAGCAGAAAAAGAAGAGAAAGTTATTTTTAAAGTATTTCAGCACTGTAAATTTAGCAGATAACAAAGTGGTGAAATATTTTAGGACCTTCATTTCATTTGCGAACAATATTAAAATTTGTTGTATTGGTGTAAGGTAAATAAAAAATAAACGTTTTTGATAATTTTTAATGACTCTTTTGAGAAACTTGTACTTTTCTGATTTAATAAAAAAGGATGGATAACTGGAGTTTTCTTGACGGTAGTTCTACTGAGAAAAAAGATTACGCATTTTACGCAGCTTTTATTCAAAGAAACTATTGTTTTTGGTAGGTTTTATCACATAATAGAAAAGTGTAAAATGTCAGTAAACGTTTAAAATTACAAACTTTGGAGATTAATTGTCACCAATTTTGTTCTTCAATAATGTTAACATTCAATATTTAGGAATTTTAGTCTGTGACTGCTCGAGTATAATCAGACTAAAATTTGGCAAACGTTAATCTGTCAAGACCACATGTTCTTAGAGCATCAATTTCAGTTGCCGTACATGAATTAAAAAATCGTAAGAGATACATTTAAAACAATGAGTTGCTTAGAAGAACACTGCAAAACTCAAAAAAAAAAAAAACATCTTTTTAGACCGCATATTGTTCGTCATTTCTTGATATTTTTGTGCAGTAGTGCTCGAAGTAACTGTAAATTTTTAAAAATTGACAAATAAAAAAGATTAATATTCTATTCATATTTTTTTTATTCTCCTATAAAGCAAAAACTGGTTACTCTAGTGCCTTTAAGCAATAAGACATTAAAACAAGTATTCTGCTCAACTACCATTGGAAGACTAAGGCCAAGAAAATTTCCAAATCAAGAATTTTGGAAAAAAAACTTTTTTCAAAGAGTGAAAGGTTTAAAGGCAGGGCAGGTCTTCTTTCAATCTTGTTTCTAATTTTTCCTTGAAATAGTAGTTTTAAAAGTTAACTGTAGTCTCTAAACTTATTATTTACTGAAACATTTGCTAGGGAATTTAAATACTATCAAAACGAAAACAAAAATTTTACAATTTAGGTTTTACAACGATTAACCAACTGCTTTAAACAGCTATTCACCAAAGAACTTTAAATTTAATTCCGAAAACCTGTTTTCTTCTAAAGTACTAAAAGAAGCCTACAACTTACAGGTGCCTTTACTGTTTTTTTTCAAATTTTTTTAAAATTATTTAACAAAGATAAAGGCATTAGATGAAAGCGTTAAAGGCGGGAGATATGAATGACTTTAACAAAGCATGGTTAGAATAAAGCCTAAGAAGTCAGTTGCAATGGAAACTGACCAAAGTTTAAAAAAATTGTCTTGCCAAATAAATTTTAGCCAACCAGTCATAACTTGTTTACTTCAAAAAATTTTTACTGATATAATTAGAGTTGAAAATTTTGGTACTTATTTTGTCTTTTGCAATCGTAAGATTACTCGATTCGCCCTTTAATGCACAAAGTGAACAGAACCATTCAAGCAGTGAGGTGAAGTATTCTAAACAACACAAAAAAGCGCCATTGCTGCAGATAAGACTATTCTCTTCTTTCATGAATT